CTCTCTCTTTGTATTTGCAGTCCAAACAACATGGATAGAAACACTGTGTACTGCCTGCTGTGCAACAAGCCCCAGCTGTCCATTTGGAATCACCTGAGCAGAGTGTGCCTGAAAGACGGCACAGCACAGGAGAGGGAGCAAGAAGCTTCCAGAGCTAAAGCCTCCCAGAAGCTGTTTTCCAGGGAAGGTCGACTCTGGAGCGTCTCGGAGCTGCAGGAGTTTTGCAAGGACGCAACATCTTGCACCAAACTCTGCAGTCGTCTTCAGAGTCGTGGCTTTATCATCACAGACACTCCCCAAACCTTCCCAACACAGAGGTCTGATGAGCTTGTTGCCACTCTGGCTCATACATACTGCAGGACACATACGCACTTTCAACACTGTCTTACTGTCACCTTTGCAACAGCTTTGATAAGAAGGAAATCCTCGCCCTGGCCAAAAAGGACATCGAGTATTTCCACCAAAAGCTTGTAGGCGGTGATTGCATCCCCAACGTTGCCATGACAACGTTCAGGCAGTACGGCGAGGCCATCCTGATGTTACAGCACGGACTGACAGCAGGTGCTGTTCAGGAACTTTCTGTAAGCGCCGCCAACAAAAACAGTAAATTATAAGTGATAGTTGATGGAAGTGTGCATCACCCTGAGCTCCAACACTTTGTCCCACACCCACAGGTGCAGGACTGGATGGAGCGAAGGGCAAGCTTGAGGATGACCATCCAGGAAGAAGAAGTAAGTCCTTTGTTCTCAGCAGCGACTCTCTTCCTGTTCTGTGTGGACCCTGGGAGGTGATTTATAGTTGTCATTGATGGCTCTTGTCTCTGCAGCTGTTGGAGTGCTACTTTAAGAACATCCGCCCAGTGTACTTACAAAACCAAAGAGCTGGCAGTGACGACGGGGGCAGGTTCTTCCTGGGAGAAGGTGGGGTCCCTCTGACCAACCCAACAGGAGATGTACAGCGCCTGAGGGCCAGGTGAGTGCTGCACACCACTGGATCCATACTGGCAAAACTTTGCCAGTGTGGTCATAGCACTCAAACACATGTGTTGCTGCGTTTGTTGGTGGATGTAGAACTGCTTCACCTTTCTAATTTGGTTAGATACCTGCGCAGCGACACTGAGGATCCTGCGGCTGGGTCAGCATCACACTCAGCAGGAGGAGTAGAAACCTCGGGACAGGCCAGGTATGCTTTTCGTTTTTATGTTACCCACTAGCACAAGAAAACCTGCGTTACAAGTTTCCACATACAAACTATTGGTGGGTTTCTCTCTCACTCTGTGTAGGTCCATTTCCACAAAGCGCCTACCACTCCGAGAATGGGATGCCTTCCAGCGGACCTTCCCAGTAACCCTAAATGGAGAGCCACCTTCAAAACGCCGGTGTGTACAGGCTGGTTTTCCACACTACCGAGCCCACTACAAAAGGTGGAGGGAGCTTCAGCTTAAGCAGAGAGTTCAGCACATCCTCGGTAAGCCCGTCATGCTAATGGATGCTCTGCCTCCATTATTTACAGCTCTAATATATACACATAGCTCAGCAATACTTCACATCACAGAGGTTCAAATATATATGATTGACTCAGATGGTTGATTTGCAGTATTCCTCACGCCTCGCTCTGGGACAGGGTGTGCCAGAAGAAGCAACGCCCCTCAGCGTGCAAGAGTACAGACGGCATTAGATAAGGAGACCTGGAGCACCAACAAGCCCACTGTTGATGCCGTCCTACGGGCCTGGGTTGCTCCACAGCCCAGGATCCAGGACAGCCCGTCCCTCATGTCCTCGATTTCAGAGCAGAAATGGAAGGGCCTGGCTTTGAAGGACTTCGGGGAGGAAAAGGGCAAAGGTAAATGCACCTATCGTTTGGACCACACCCTCGTTTGACAGCAAGTCAACATTTCTAAAGAGCTTATGATGACTTCCTGTTTGCTCACAGGTGTCATCGCCCTGATGCCCTTCAACAAAGGAGACGTCGTCTGCGACTACCACGGGACGTGCATCACCAAAGCTGCAGGGAATCAGAGGCGGCAGTCAGGGTCTCTCTTCTTCTACAGGGACGAGTGCCACAGGGCTGATGCCACTGCGTCCCCCTGTGCCTGCCACCTGCACAAGGACTCCTATGGAAGGCACATGAACCATTGCCAAAGGAATCCAAACGTGAAGCCACAAAGGTTCACCATGAACTTCCCTGCTGGTCCTCGGGAGAGTGTGCTGTTCATCGCCCTGAGGGACATCGTGGTTGGAGAGGAGCTCCTGTGGGACTATGGAGTCTAGAGATGGCACCGTGTTTTATGTCCCATATCCTACATTTGGATTTCTGCCCACACCGACATGACTCCAATAGTGTATTTTATAATCAATAAAACTGTGTGTGTTTTTTTTATATATTGCTGCGTTTTGTATAAGTTCAAACTCAAACTAAAGCTGTCCTGTTATATATCTTTCTCAGAGGTGAAATGCCGGTTGACTCGGTCCATCCCTGATGGAGTCTCCCATAAATCCTTTGGCTGGACATTTGACTTGTCTTTATTTTTCCTTTGTTTGATGCTTTGCTTGGCTTTTGTTGTCTCTGACCTTTTCTGATTAAAAGAAAATTGAGCTCACAGGACACCATGTTGCCTCAGCTGATGCAGTCCTCTTTGCAATAATGTTTATTTCCAAAGGAATTTCTAGAAATTCAGAACAGTAAAATTCACAGAATGAATTAGAAGATAACTCTTATGTAGTTAAACTAAAATCCTCTGTGGGGGTAGTATATAAACTCTTAACACCTAGTTAGCATGAATAAGTGTTGAACGATCAACTCCAGACAGATTTGGTATTCAACACTAAGTCAGAGTTAATGTTCCAACTCTCCAATAAGAGTTAAATTAACTTATAAAGACGCTTTAAAAGAGCTGAAATCAAATCTGACAGTCTTCATTGGGACATGTTGGATTTGCTGTGTGGTAAGGCACCTGGGCCAGATGGCTTTCTGACTTTACAAAACCTTCCCAGAAAAAAGAATATTGCCTCTTTTTAACATGTATGTAGAAGCATATCACACGGAGGCTCTCCACCCACTGTGAGACAGGCAGTGAGTACTGAGAAACCTGCTAAACCTGCAGAACACTCATCATTTAGAGTCTGACGGGGGTTGACACTAAAATACTTTAAATGTTTAGCATGAAGATCAGAGCCTTGGATCCCACATTTGATTCACTTTGTACCAAAGCATCAAGGGTTTCACAATATAAGAAGGGTTCTCATATAATTCATGAGAGATGTGATGCTAACGATGCAGCTTTATTATCACTGGACGCTCGTCAGGCCTCGGACAGAATAGATTCATTTAACGTTCTCCCAAGATATGGATTTGGAAATCATTTTCTCAGATGGGTTCAACTTTTGTAACAAACAATAGTTTCTAAACCTGTCACATTGGAGCGTTCCACTCATCAGGGGTGCCCGTTATCTCCAATGCTATTTATTCTGACTATGGAACCTCTGGTGATGACACTTAGAATGAGAGCTGTACTATTTGGTTTCCAGTTAGGAGATCGAGAGCAGAGATTGGCCCTAGGCCCTAGACTAGGCTGTCTGTTAGCAAAGTTGCAAAATTAATGCTACAAATGGAGCTATTTAGACGATTTTCTGGCTATAAATGATTCAAAATCCTCCTCCGTCCTATTCCTGAACAAGGATGAAAGGTTATGCAAAGTTTTTATATTGAGTCACTTCCTCTGCCTCCTCCAAAAGAATCCTTTCAGAAGTTAAACGATATCTTTAATTGGTTAATTTGGACTAACAAAGGTCCTAGATGAAGACTTGGCTTGTTGTGCCTGCCATATGAAAGAGGGGGTTACAATTCTCTGATCTTAAACTGTATCACTGGTCTGCACAGGTGCGCTCAGCCACGCTCTATTTTTCCACTGAGACACCTGCAGCCTGAATAAAACGTGAACAAAAAACAGCGACAAACCTTCAGTTTGATCTGCATCTATGCTCTGCAAGCTGAATATATATTATTTTATTTTATTTTAAAGTTTCCACTTGACAGAAATGTGTTTTTGTTGAAGATTCCCGAGGTTCGCACGGTGTCATCCTCCTGAAAAGGAAACACCTTGTGGCGTCAGGTGAGCTGCATAAGGTGCTGTCAGTCACATGACCCTGAGCCTCAGCAGGAAGTCTGACCCCTTCATAATAAAAGCATG